TGCCTAGGTGACTCAGTCGGTCAAGCCTCTGTCTTTGGCTCAGGTCATGATCTCCAGGTCCTGGGATCGAGCCCCACGTTGGGCTCCCTGCTCAGCGGGGAGTCTGCTTTTCCCTCTTTCTGCCTCTCCCCCTGCTTGTGTGCTTGCTCTCTCTGTCTCTCAAATGAATAAATAAAATCTTTTTTAAAAAAGAAGTTAAATATAAAGAGTGATTCTTAAAAACAGCAAGAGAGACGAACCATGAGAGATGATGGACTCTGAAAAACTGAGGGTTCTAGAGGGTAGGGGGGTGGGGGGATGGGTTAGCCTGGTGACGGGTATTGAGGAGGGCACGTTTTGCATGGTGCACTGGGTGTTATGAACAAACAATGAATCATGGAACACTGCATCAAAAACTAATGATGTAATATATGGTGATTAACATAACAATAAAAAAATTAAAAAAAAAAACAGCAAGAGAAAAGCAAGGGAACCCCCATTAGACTACTAAAAGATTTTTCAGCAGAAACCTTGCAGTCCACAAGGGAGTTGGATGATATATTCAAAAGAAACAACTGCCAACCAAGAATACTTTACCTGGCAAAGTTTTCCTTCAGAAATGAAGGAGAGATGGAGTTTCCCAGACAAGCAAAATCTGAAGGAGTTCATCACCACTAGACTGGTCTTAAAAGAAATGTTAAAGGAAGTTCTTTAAGCTGAAATAAAAAGATATTAATTAGTAACATGACGCATAAGTATAAAACTCACTGGTAAAAGTACATATATAGTTAAATTCAGACTAATATTGTAATGATGGCAGGTAAATCACTCATAACTGCAATATAAAGGATAAAAGACAAAAGCATTTAAAATAACTATAGCTACAATAATTTGTTAATGGATACACAGTATAAAAAGCTGTAAATCAGAACAGCAAAAACAAAATGAGGGGTGTATAAATCTATGCATTCAAAGTTAAGTTGTTATCAGCTTAAAATAGACTGTTATAAGATGTTTTATGTAAGCCTCATGGTAACCACACAACAAAAACCTGTAGTAGATACTACAAAAGATAAAGGAATCAAAGCATACTACCAAAAAACCATCAACTCACAAAGGAAGAGAAAGAGAGGAAGAAAGGAATTTCAATAAATTCAGAAAACAATTAACAAAATTGCAATAGTAAGTCCATACATATCAATAATTACTTTAAATGTAAATGGACTAAATTTTCTAATCAAAAGAGACAGAGTAGCTGAATGGATTAAAAAAAAAAAAAAAAGACCCAACTGTAAGCTGTCTACAAGAGACTCACTTCAGCTTCAAAGACACATATAGACTGAAAGTGAAGGGTTGGGAAAAAATATTCCATGGAAATGGAAACCAAAAGAAAGCAGAGGTAGCTATACCTACATCAGACAAAATAGACTTTAAGCCAAAAACAGTAACAAGAGACAAAGGTCATTACATAATGGTAAAGGGGTCAATTCATTAGGCAGCTATAACAATGTAAATATGTATGCACCCAACATAGAGTACCTAAAGATATAAGGCCAATACTAATAGATCTGAAGAGAGAAATAGACAGCAATACAATAATAGTAGTGGACTTCAATACTCCACTTTCAACAATGGATAAAGCATCCAGACAGAAAACCCACCAGGAAACTTAAACTACATGTTAGCAGACATTTACAGAACAGTCCATCCAACAGCAGCAGAATGCACATTCTGATATACATGGAAATCATCTGATAGATCATATGTTAGGTCACAAAACAAATCTTAATAAGTTTAAGAAGATTGAAATCATATCAAGCATTTTTTTCTGATCACAATGCTATGAAACTAGAAATAAAGTATGAGAAAAAAACTGGTGAATTGACAAATATGTGGAAATTAAACAACATGCTCCTGAACAGTGGGTCCAAAAAAGAGAAATTAAAATATCTTGACTCATGACAAGAAACAAAATTGTAACTATGTGAGGTGATAGATGTTAACTAAACTTAACCATGGTAATCATTTCATAATATATACATATATCAAATAATTATGTTGCATGCCTTATATTTATAAGTGTTACATGTCAATTATATTTAAGTAAAACAGGCAAAAACTTGAAAAAAATAGAGACAAATGAAAATGGAAACACCACATACCAAAACTTCAGAGCAAGAGCAGTTCTAATAGGAAAGTTTATAGCAATAAATACCTACATTAAGAAAAAGGAAAGATCTGGGGCCCCTGGGTGACTCAGTCATTAAGTGTCTGCCTTCGGCTCAGGTCATGATGCCAGGGTTGATGCCAGGGTTGATCCCAGGGTCCTGGGATAGAGCCCCGCATTGGACTCCCTGCTCAGCAGGAAGCCTGCTTCTCCCTCTCCCACATCCCCTGCTTGTGTTCTCTCTCTCGCTGTCTCTCTCTCTGTCAAATAAATAAATAAAATCTTAAAAAAAAAAAGAAAAAGAAAGATCTCAAAATAAACAACCTAATTTAACACTTCAAGGAACTGGAAAAGAACAAACTAAGCTCAAAGTTAGTAGAAGAAAGGAAATAAAATCAGAACAGATATTAAATGAAATAGAAGCAAAAAAGACAATAGAGATGATCAATAAAAATAAGAGCTGGGTTTTTTTTTTTGAAAACATAAACAAAATGGATAAAACTTTAGCTAAGAGAGAGGGAAGACTCAAAATCAGAAATAAAAGAGGAGATATCACAACTGATAACACAGAAAGGATCATAAGAAACTGCTATGAACAATTATACCCCAACATATTAGATAACCTAAAAGATATGGATATATTTCTAGAAACATACAACCTACCAAGACTGAATCATGAGGAAACAAATTCTAAAGAGATTGATTACTAGGAAGGAGACTGAGTCAGTAATCAAAATCCTCCCAACAAATAAAAGCCCAGGATCAGATGGGTTCACCAGTGAATTCTATGAAACAGTTAAAACAGATTTAATATGAATCTTCTCAAACACTTCCAAAAAACACAAGAGGAATGAACACTTCCAAACTCATTTTATGAGGCCAGCATTACCCTGACACCAAAGCCAGACAGGAGCACCACAAGGAAAGAAAATTACAGCCTAATATTCCTGATGAATATAGAGGCAGAATTTCTCAACAAAATATTAGCAAAACAAATTCAACAGTACATTAAAAGAATCATACACCATGATCAAGTGGGATTTGTTTCCGGGAACCAAGGGTAGTTCAACATACACAAATCAATAAATGTGATATACCAGTTTAACAAAAAGAAGGATAAAAATCATATGATCATCTCAATAGATGCAGAAAAAGCTTTTAACAAAATTCAATATCCTCTCATGATGAAAACTTCCAACAAATTGGGACAGATGGAATGTACCTCAACATAATAAAGGCCACATATGACAAACCCACAACTAACATCATACTCAACAGTAAAAAGCTGAACACATTCCTCTAAGGTCAGGAATATGACAAAGATGCCCACCTTCATCACTTTCACTCAACACAGTACTGGAAGTCAGGGCCAGAGCAATTAGGCAAGGGGAAAAAAAAGGCACCCAAATCAGAAAAGAAGAAGTAAAGTTGTCTCTGTTTGTAGATGACATGATCTCCTATATAGAAAACCCTAAAGACTCCACCAAAAAACTATAAGACCCAATAAATGGATTCAGTAAGTTCAGGACATAATCAATATACAAAAATCAGTTGTGAGGGCACCTGGGTGGCTCAGTCGGTTAAGCGTCTGCCTTCAGCTCAGGTCATGATCCCAGGGTCCTTGGATCAAGTCCCAGATCGGGATCCCTGCTCAGTGGGAAGCCTGCTTCTCCCTCTCCCCCTCCCCCTGCTTGTGTTCCCTCTCTCGCTGTGTCTCTCTCTGTCAAATAAATAAATAAAATCTTAAAAAAAAATCAGTTGTGTTTCCATTCACTAACAATCAACTATTGGAAAAAGAAGTAAAATCCCATTTACAAAAAAATCCCACTTACAGAAGCATCAAAAATAATAAAATACTTAGGAAAAAATTTAACCAAGGAGATGAAAGATCAGTACAATATTAACTATAAAACACTGATGAAAGAAATTTAAAAAGACAGAAATGGAAAGATACTGTTTCTGGATTAAAAGAATTAATATTGTTAAAATGTCCATACCACCCAAAGTGATCTACAGATTCAATGCAATCCCTATCAAAATTCCAATGGCATTTTTCATAGAAAGAGAAAAAACAATCCTAAAATCCATGTGGAACCACAAAAGATTCTGAGTAGCCAATGCAATCTCAAGAAAGAACAAAGCTGGAGGCATCACACTTCTTGATTTCAAACTATATTACAAATCTATAGTATCACTATAGTGATTCGCATAAAAACAAACACATAGATTAATAGAACAGAATAGAGAGTCCAGAAATAAGCCCATGCATATGTGGTCAATTCATTTTCAACAAAGGAGCCAAGAACATACAATGGGGAAAAGACAGTCTCTTCAATAAATGGTGCAAGAAAACTGTATATCCACATGCAAAGGAATGAAACTGGATTCCTATCTTACGCCATACACAAAAATCAACTCAAAATGGATTAAAGATTTGAACATAAGACTGAAGCTTTAGAACTCCTAGAAGGAAAAACATAGTGGGTAAGCTCCTTGAGATTGGTCTTGGCAATGATTATTTTTTGGATATGACACCGAAAGCACAAACAACAAAAGAAAAATAAACAAGTGGGACTACATAAAACTAAAAAGTTTCTGCATAACAAAGGAAACTATCAACAAAATGAAAAGTCAACCTACAGAATGGGAGAAAATATTTGCAAACCACATATCCAATAAGGGGTTAATGTCCAAAATATACAAGGAAACTTATACGACTCAATAGCACAAAAATCATAATCCAATTAAAAATGGGCAGAGGAACTGAATAGACAGTTTTCTTTCTTTTTTTTTTTTTTTTGGTAAAATAGTTTCATCCTCTGTCAAAACACAAACCAACACACTTTGCGGGTGAGGGGAGGCAACACAGTATATAGCCCATGTCTTATTGAGAAGAGAGGATGACATTTAAAAGCCTCACCCCACAGCTTGCTCTAATACCCACTTATAAATATCTCTTGTTATATTAAAAAAAATATTTCCAGGGCCCACCTGGCTCTGCTCCTGCACAAAGGGTTAACCTTCAGTATTTGATCTCAAGATCACAGGGTTGGGGGTGGTAAAGAGAGGCAGATTGGGAAGGGGGGGTGCTGAAAAACAGAGGGACAAACCAACATACTTTCTAAGGCCATCCAAAACATCCAGAACCAAGTTGGGGGAGGGCGCCTGTTAGAGACTGAGAAACCAGTGCTGTACCTCGGGGCTGTCTCACTCCTGTCCCCAGTCCCTGATGCTCTGGAGTGATCTGTCCTTTCAGCTACCACTGTGAGGTCCCAGTATCAGAACCCATCTTTTCAACTCACCACCCAGCTTTTAAGGTCCTCTAACACGGAGCAGCCCCCTCCCCAAATGAGCATGAAGAAAGCTGGAGGTACTTCCTGGGAGGAGGGTATTCCAGGGGGTGAGCCACTTTTGGGGTCCCCTTTCAGTCCCTGACCAGGCGATAAATGTGGTGCTGGGCCCCCCGCTCACTGGTGGAGACCTCAAAGACGTAGGCGGTGCAGAGCAGCAGCTCCTGGGTGTCTCTGTTTGTCACCACCTGGAGGATGGTGAAGTTCTCCAGGACACTGTTCATCATATAGCGCTCGGGCAGCTGTCGCAGTTTGTGCAAGAAATTCACCAGGTACTCACACATGGGTGAGCGCAGCAGGCGGTATACAAACCTCCCATCCTCCAGCTGGGCACGCTCCGTCTCCACCTTCTCCACCACCTGCTTGCCAAAGGAGCAGACCTTGGAGGAACAGGTGAGGGTCATGTGCTCCAGGCTCTCGTACTGGCTGCTCACTCCGTAGAAGCCACCGCCGCTGCCACCAGCCCCTACCTCCTCGCCACTTGGGCCCCAGTTCAAGTCCGCCCAGAACTTGACCAGGAAGAAGGCGGGAGGGGGCCCGCGATCGTACAGCTCCCGAAGGCCGCCCTTTTTCTCAGGGAATTTGTCATAGATCTGCCGGACGTCCACACTCTCGAGGCGGGGCGCTCCAGGGCTGGGGCAGTGCTGGCTGATGTGTACGAACAGGTGCCTCTGGTAAGAATCAACGGCATCGGGCGGTTCCACAAAGGCTGAGAACTCCACCAGCTGCAACTGGGCAGTGCCCAGGGCCCAAGCCTGCCAGGCTGGGGGTGATGGGGCAGGTGGGGGCAGGGCAGGGGGTGACAGGGCTTGGGGGGGCTCGTACCCTGGGAGGTCAGTAGATGGGGGGGTCAGTGACAAGGAGAATGGTGTCTGCGAGAATGGCTTCACATCTGGAACATTCCAGGGGGGGCCAGAGCCCCCCGACCAAAACTGGAAAAGCTCAGAAGCCTGAGGACCAGCAGGGCCCAGTTTGGCCTGCAGGGAAGGTGCTGAGATGAGCTGGGCTGAGGACATGGTGGCCATGGTCTGGAAAGCCTTGTCCTTGGAAACCTGGTCCTTGAGCTTGGACTGGATTTCCCTTGATTTCCTTCGAGCCAGAACCTGGATGTGACTAGAGACCTGTTTGCGAGTTCGGGTCTTCCCTGTTCTCAGCTTGAGGTAGCGGGCAATCAGCTCATTCCGACCATACATCTTGCCTTCATCAGACAGGATGATTTTCCACCGGCCGCATGGCGGGTAGATGGCCAGGGCCTCCTGGAAGCTCTGCTCGATGTCTGGACTCCACACACCTTCTGCGTCCGGGCCCCCATCGCCCCCAGCCCCCTCGCTACCGCCGGTGCCCTCCTCACTTCCTTCCTCACTTCCTGTCCAGCCACTGCCATCGTCCAGGGGGGCCCCAGCCCGGGGTTCCCCCATCTGGGCCCCAAAGGTGGATCCCCGACTCCCGCGGGCGCCTTCCTACCTCCCGGCCTGGGGCTGGGGAGCCCTGAATAGACAGTTTTCTAAACAAGATATCCAAATGGCCAACAGGTACATGAAAATGTGCTCAACATTACTAATTACCAGGGATATGCAAATCAAAACCACAAAGAGGTATCACCTTATACCTGCTGGGATGGCTATTATCAAAAAGACAAGAGACAATAAATGCTGACAAGGATGTGCAGAAAAGGAAACTCTTATGCCCTATAGATGGGAATGTAAAATGGTGCAACTTCTATGGAAAAGAGTATAGAGACTGCTGAAGAAATTAAAAATAGGATTACCATATGATCCAGCAATCCCGCTTCTGGGTATACATATAAAGGAAATGAAATCACAATCTGTACTCCCATGTTCATCGCAGCATTATTCACATCAGCCATGGAATGGAAATACCCTACATGTCCATTGACTGATGAATGGATAAAGAAAATGTGGTATATGTATACAAAGGAATATTATTCATCGTTATAAAAAAAGAAAATCCTGCTATTTGCAACAACAGGGATAAACAATTATGCTACGTGAAATAAGCCAGACAAAGACAAATACTGCATGGTATCATTTATATGTGGAATCTAAAAAAAAAAAAAAAAAAAAAAAAAAAGTCCAAAACAGAATCAGAGAGTAGAATAGTGGTTGCCTTGGATTGGGGGCTGGGGGAAATAGGGAAAGACCAGTATAAAGGCACAAACTTTCAGATATAAGATGAATAAGGTCCAAGAATCTAACGTATAACATGGTGACTATAGTTGATAATACTGTATTATATAACTGAAATTTGAAACTTGCTAAGAGAGTAGAACTGAACTGTTCTCACCAAAAGAGAAAAGAAGGGAGGGAGGGAGGAAGGAAAGAAGGAAAAACGTAAATATGTGAGGTGATGTATGTGTTAATTAACTCAGTGTTGGGAATTCTTTCTCACATATACAGTATGTCAAATCATCATATATACACTCTAAATATATTACAATTATATTTCTTTTTAAGATTTAGTTATTTATTTGATATAGAAAGTGCAAGCAGGGGCAGTGGGGGCAGAGGGAAAGAGAGACGATCTCAAGCAGACTCCCCACTGAGCGCATAGCCAGAGGTGGGGCTCAATCCCACGACCCTGAGATCGTGAGCTGAGCCAAAATCAAGAACCAGCCACTCAACCAGCTGAGCCACCCAGGCAATCCTACAATTGCATTTCTCAGTTACACCTCAATAAAGCCAAAACAATAAATAAATACATACATATAAATATGTCAAATAAATAAATAAGCAGGAGCTGTTTTCTTTTCTCAAGAGGAAAGTGGCTTTGGAATACCACCTTACTTTTTAGAATAAATTGAATTCTATTATCACATTACAAGGCATAAATTTTGCCTCAGTGATTTGGATCCATGTATAGATTTTCATTCTTGTTTTTCTTCAGCTGTTTGGTAGAACTTATTGATACACTTGTTGCATTGTTTTTATCTGACCTACTATGTATCTCTTTGGCTTTTCATTGCCAGACTTCTCTGAAGGGTACCAACCTTCCTGTCCCACCCCTCCGCCTCCATCCCTGGGAAGAGAGTTCATTGCCATAGCCCTTGCTAACTGCTGTGAGCTCTACACGAATGCTGTCTGTGCATAAAGCTGGTCCATTTCCGTAACAGTCCTGATCTTGATGGCATTTTGATGGCAAAGGTGCTTATGTACTTAGAGTTCCCACTCTACAATTAACTCACCGTGATCTTTAACAGTAAATGTAAAAATTTCATTTTGGTTCACTGTACCCCAATAATGAAAATTAGCATATATCTTTCCATTATTTGGCTGAGCCAAATAGGAAATTTCTTGTGGGCTCTGTCTGAGCCTAGATTTAAAATAATAAATACTACCATATCAAAAAAATCTTGCAAATCTTGCTTTTAGCTTCCATCTTAAAAATTATGTGATGCGGTATGCTATAAAAGTGATTTGGTATATAACATGTACTGAGGTGAAAAGCTATATTTCTTGGAGTTCTGTGGGTGAGCTGGGTTCATGGTACAAAAGTAGATATGAAAGTTACATGAATATTTAATGATACAATTTTCTGGTTGTCACACATTTGTAAATCTGCAAACTCCTTAACATCATCGCACAGTAAACAAAACATATTTCCTGTATGCAAATTTGCAAGGAACATCCGTTTCTTAAAGGCCCTTACTTTGTTCGACTGTTTTGTTTTAGTGACAGCTTTACTTCAAGTGTGCAGAGAACCCTTTAAAACAACGGATTTCAGTGGGAAGAAGTGGAAATTTTCGCCACCCATGGGACATTTGGCAATGTCTTGAGACAGCATTAGTTGTCACAACTGGGGGGATGCTACTGACATCTACTGGGTAAAGGCCAGAATTGCTGCTAAACATCCTCAAATGCGCAGGTTCAGCCCCCACAACGAAGAATTCTCTGGTCCCCATGTCAACAGTGCTAGGTTTGAGACACTCTGATTTAAAATGCTTAATATATATCATCTATCTAATATTATTTATAATATGAATAATATTATAGCCTTAAGAATGAGTTTCAAAAGGACGCAGGTGTTCCTCAAAAAGTTAGACATAGAAATACCTCATGGCCCCACAATTCCACTCCTAGGTATACACCCAAAAGAACTGAAAACAGGTATTCCAACACGTACGTGTACAGGCGTGTTCATGGCAGCACTAGTCACAATAGTCACGGTGTGGAAACAGTCCAAATATCCATCAACTGCCAAATGGATAAACAAATCGTGTTAGGTACATACAATGGAATTGTATTCAGCCATAAAAAGCATGAAGTACTGATAGATGCTACCTAGTGGAACCTATGAAACATTACCTAATTCAAAGAAGCCAGACACGGGGAACCTGGGTGGCTTAGTCGTTAAGCGTCTGCCTTCGGCCCAGGTCATGATCCCAGGGTCCTGGGATCGAGCCCCACATCGGGCTCTCTGCTCAGCAGGGAGTCTGCTTCTCCCTCTCCCTCTGCCTGCCGCTCCCCCTGCTTGTGCTCTCTCTCTCTCTCTGTCAAAAATAAATAAAACTTAAAAAAAAAAACAAAGAAGCCAGACACAAAGTCTTATTATTGTATGATTTCATTTGTATGAAATATTCAAAATAGATAAATCCAGAGACAGAATACAGACTGGTGGTTACCAAGGACTGGGGGAAGGCAGGAACTCAATGAATATAAGCTTTACGTTGGGGTGGCAGAAGTGTTTTGGATCTAGATATAGATGGAGGTTGCACAATATTGTGAATGTCCTAAATATCACTTATTGTTCACTTTATTTATTTATTTATTTTTTTGACAGAGAGAGACACAGCGAGGGAGGGAACACAAGCAGGGGGAGTGGGAGAGGGAGAAGCAGGCTTCCCGCTGAGCAGGGAGCCTGATGCGGGGCTCAATCCCAGGACGCTGGGATTATAACCTGAGCCGAAGGCAGATGCCCAACGACTGAGCCACCCAGGCCCCCCCTATTGTTCACTTTAAAATAATTTTATGTTAGGTGAATTTCACCTTGGTAAATTTAATGGATGTCAGGAGTCAGAAGCCCAATGGACTGTGCCATACCGGCGCCTTAGATTGATTTATATTTGGCCAATTATTTCTAGAGGCCTGAAGTAGGCAAAGTTTGTGCTGCTTTTGATTTGTCTTTAGATGCCTGATCTCCTCTTGGTGAAAAGTCCTTGGCTAAACTATTGGTTGGCAAGCATTTAAAAGACTATCACCTCTGTGGGAATAATAGACTTTTAAGACAGGAATAAAAAGATAGCAGTCAGAAGATCTGGATTCAAAGTCCTGGCCAGAGTCCCTCTCAAGCCATGTGAAAGGTCTTAATCTCTCTAAAGCCCATGTTCCACTTCTGCATAATGAATGTGATAATCATGTACCTGACCAACCTGCTAGAAAATCTGAATGATGTATATGAAAAAACCATATTGTGTAAATGGTAAGGTGCTCCAAAGATATTCTGTTCACAAGTAGAGTGTAAGAACCTTATATATTGAGCCTTTGCTCCTTTATACATGAACATTTGCTTGGCACCTTATCACGCCTTGCATTGCTTGACAAGATTTACATGTTTGCTTTTTTCCTCCCATTTAATGTATACAATAACCCTTTGAAGAAAGTACTAGTATTATCCCAGTTTTCCAACGGAGGAAAGACAGGCTTAAATTAAGTTACTCCCTATAGTCACATAGTAAGTGACAGAGCTAGGATTTGAGCCCAAGTCTGACCGACTCCAAAGGCCTTACTCTTAACCAGTATGTCCACTCTTATACCATCTCAGCCCTTCCTGCCTTCCTTCCTTCACCATTTCAGTGCCTCAAGGGTCACAAGTTTAACCCAAGTGATCTCATCAGTTTCTAAAGTATTTACACTTTCTGAACTTGTGTGCCAATCATGTCCTGCTGTGTGGCATTTTTTGTATTTTTGTCTCATGTTGCTATTTGTCTTACTGTTGTCTTCTGTTGCAGCAAGTAAAAAAATGATTGCTATTCAAGCCGGTAATTCCCTCAAAGACAGAATTGACTTTATTTAACGTTACTTTTATCAGCTCTCTGAATGTGGAGCTCCATAAGGGCAGTCTGTTTGATTTGTTACCAAAGCCCTAAGAGCTAACACTGTGCTTAACACACACACACACACACACACACACACACACAGTTGTTTAATATTGAAGAACAAAAAAGATGAAACTCGAAGGGTTTGGGCAGGAATACCTGGGACACAACAAAAGGAGAGAAAATGTCTGCCAAATCAAAGAACCTATAGCACTTATACTTCCTGGTACAAAATAAGTTTTTAATCAGTGTTAGTTATTATTGCTACATAAGTATAATATGAATAGGGTGGGGTTTGTGGATAGGTAGAAAATGGGAAGCAAAAAAGAAAGAAAGAAGCAATGGAGCAAAATGATGCTAGGCTAG